TCAGGGGTGTGGGTCTTCTCCCAAGTTGCTACAATAGAAGACCTGAGAGTTGGGCTCAAGCTAGCTCTGTTCGCTTTAATTGTGTGTTTTTCCTTCTCCCCACACTGAGACCTTTGCCCCAAAGGAGGGGAGTGCTGAAGCAAGGAGAGCTTGTGTGCTTTACAGAGGTCCAATGCTCTGCCTGTGTAGGCATCCGGAGCTCTGCTCATACAAAGCCCATGGTGGCATTTTTCCCCTGCTGTGGCCACCCTGGATCTAGTGCTAGACTATGGCAGGGAGTGGGCAGGGCCAGAGCGTTCATTGGCTTGGGCTAGGGACCTTTCTCTGCCATGCCGGGGGGAAACCAGCACATGCACACTCCTCAGGAGTGGAGTCTAGACTTCTCCAGTCTATCTGTCCCAATGCTTTTCCAATTAGCCAAATGGGCTTGTCTCCTATACATAGGACCCCAGGACTGGGATACCCAGTCTGTGGCTCGACCCACTCACTACCCAGGGTGAATGTCTGCCTGTGCAATCTCCCTTTTCCTCTTGGTCCCCTCCAGGGGGCACAGATCCTGACCCAATGCTTCTCTTCCTATCCTACCCAAATACATGTGTATCTTTCTTGCAGCATTGTTGTTTTTTTAAAAATTTTATTTATTCATTTTTGTCCATGCCATGCAGTGTGTGGGATCTTAGTTCCCCGACCAGGGATCGAATCCATGCCCCCTGCCTTGGCAGCAGAGTCTTAACTACTGAACCGCCAGGGAAGTCCCCTCAGCATTGGTTTTATAGGAGTCTTTCTGCCAGTTTCCAGTTAGTTTTCCATGGGAATTGTTCCACCTGCAGATATATTTTTGAGGTGTCTGTGGGGGGAAATAAGCTCCACATCGTCCACCATCTTGATCTCCCTTCTTGCTAATTTCTTTTTATTCGACTACATAAAGATAACACAGAACCTCTCTTTTGTGACAGTAGTTAGAGGAATCAGTTGTTTGAACAGACTCCTTGTTCTTCCCAATACAACTAAGCCATCATCATAGAATATCCTGCAGTTTTCTACATCAGGAGACCAGATATTCAATTCATAACATTTAAAGTGTACAATATTAGTCAGTAAAAGAATCCCAAATCAAAAACAGTAAGGAAAATTTGAATCTCTCTGAGAGTCCAGAAGTAGGGTGGACTCCAGACAAGGTATAATCAAAGTTCAGCTCCCTTTCTCCCCAGTTCTCTTGGCCCTCCCCTTAACTGTATGCATGCTTTCTCCTCTGGATGACTTCTCAGTAACAGCCAACATAGCTTTTTGCAACAGACAACTCTTCCTTATATATCCAACAAGAGAAAAAAAAGCCTCTCCCCTACCCACAAAATAAACTTTCTTCCCCAAGAATTTAGATGAGCCTTGTTAGGCCATGTTGCCACAGTGGGGCCATAGGAATGCTGTGTGCTGATTGGCTGAAGATTGGCTTCCTGAATCAATTACTAGCAAGTAGGATGAGATTACCAAGATAGACTTTGTGAGTCTAGGCCTTAAAATAAGATTCAGCTATGGAGTTGGAAACACTTCTCCTGATTCTCTTGGACAGTGTAGAAGAGCATTGTCTTTCTACACCAAAGGAGAACTGTCTTAGGAAAGAGAGAAAACTGAATCTTGGGTAGCCAATCAATGTGTTCAATATTGAGTGGTAGGGCTAGACTGAGCCTGGGGAATGGTGATGGTTATTAAAAAAAAAAAAAAAAGAAAGAAAAAGCCCCAGAGACTGTTATCTGGACTGTCAGAAACCCATTCATATCTAATCCAGATTTTTGCAAAGGGAAAACAGATTTTGTATAATGCTGTATTAAGCCCATCCAGCTTGGCCCACACCCAACAATGGCCCATAGAATCAAAGGCCAATTTTAGAGGCCTTTGTGCTTCTATAAAACACAAATGTGCTGCATTCCTGATTAGCATATGAATCTGGTGTTGCCATGGCAAGTATGATGTTGTATATTGTATGCTATCATTTTAGAACAGGATCTAGAAAACTAAAGGTCCTGGGATAGGAAATGAAAACCTTCTTGGTAATAAGACCAAATGGAATTATAACTTGGGCCTCAAAACTCTGAGAAACATTTATGCAAAATGAGAGGATATTGCTTTTTAAAGGGATTCTTAGATTTCAGTTAAATGAGACTGTGCTTCACTTATGATTTATTCTTACTTCCAGATGGTTTTGAAGTACCTTTAACATTTAAACTCATAAAATACAGCAGTTAGAAAACAACTAGGAAAGAGAAGGAAGGATCGATGAAGGAAATGGAAGACAGTGAGAGACATGTTGGGTGATGTTTGGTTGTATACTCATGTTAGTATTGAAATTTCCTATTAGCCTGCTGGGTTCATTCTACCACTTGCCTAAAGAAGCAGGTCAGGACGCTGGGTTTTGGAGATACTTCAGCCTCTCTAAATTAAGTGCAAAGGAGGTGGTGGGACAAACTTCTAGGCAGGGTGTATCAGTAGCCAATGATCTGAGTACAGAGGGTCCCTTTTCCTCTGGGTGTTACCAATCCAAAGACTTTGCACTGTGTCTCTGATTCAGTCATACTTACTACTCTCTATTCCAGCCTGTGAGTAATTATCTGTGCGTTCTATGTCTGACCCAGGGAGAGAAAGGTTATATGCAGGAGTCAAAACGTCTGGCTATTGTCAATTATCCCAGAATCTCCATGCAATGTGTGTATCAAACTCTTCCTTGTTTGAAACATCCTTGCAGCCACGCCTCCTTTTTAAACAATACCCTCCATCATGTACTTTGAATTATGGATCCATTCTTCAACAAGATACTGTTTGTCTCCCTTCTTTCAAGAATTCATCATAATTGCTGGTCCACAGAGTACAGTACTTTTTATGTTCTACTGGAATTGAGTTTATTAAGTATTTTTTCGATCACTTTTAGGGTTCAAGACAAGAGGGGGAAGCTGCAGCAGGTACTCATTCTGCCATTTTGAATTGAAAGTATTACGCCTACACTGACATGAAAAACAAATTCAGAGTTAAATGCTTGTAGAAATTGTTTTTCAAACATACTGTTCCTGTATGAGAATCAGACACATGTCCTTTTTCTCCATTTCCAGAATCACAGTATGTGATTGGTCATAGCAAGGCCTGTGGTAGGCTGATGATACGTACAGAACAGAGCTTGAAAGTACGAATGTGCAGCTAGAATCTGTGTGGTAGGTAAGAGTCCCTTCAGTGTTGTGGTTCCTTCCCTTAGCCTAATGGTATAAACTGCCACAGCTCACGGGTCTAGGCTCCTATGTCTTAAAGGATCGCCATTGTTTCTTGTGGACTGTCAAGATCATTGAACTTTGGAACTAGGAAGGCTACTAAGAACCTTACAGTAACTCAGCAAGATAGATGTTATCTCCACTCAGCACATCAGGACACTGAGGCTCAATGAGAATAAGTCTCAAATGCACAGAGTTAATTATAGTCACATGCTGAACTTGCCGCCCCAAAGTCAGCCTCGCTAAGCCTTTGCCTTTATTCAATGCTGCATGTAGTAAAGCATACTTTATATTGCTCCAGCTCAATATGCTGACGCAAACTTCTATTGTTTATCCCCACCAAAAATCTCTTAATCATACGAAGTTGTACCGTATGCTGTTTTGATAATCCAAAGATGGACAAATATTGGCAATCTCATATGGTTCAATCTGATATATTGTCCTTTAATTGTGTAATGAGATGGAGAACTTTTTCTTTTAGAAGTCAATGTATGAATTCCTCATAGAAGTGTCTTGAGCTTGTTGGGAATTTACTTTGATAAGACAGCTTGAAGTAGGCAGATCCTTTCCAAGAATGGGTGACAAGATTTCTAATGGAGAATCAGTTTGCACTTGAGGTGAAGCAGAATGAGGCAACAGGATGCTTACATAGAGTGAAAACTCTGGAAATGAGTGGAAGGCACTAGGAGACTTAGCACTTCCTCAAGATGATGAAAATAGATGTCTGAGGCAACCTTATCTAGAGCTCAAGGATAAAGGAAGCTTCTGCTGGTATCCAAGATACTACGGTTCCATATTATTTCTTGAACAGTCAGCATCCTGAGTGAGGAACCAAAGTGTGTTTACTCATATGGTAGTGGTAGGCATTCATTAAAAGTTAACTGAACTGTCGAACAATCATCCCAATTAGACTGTCCGCATTTTGCTGAATGTCACATATGATCTAAATTTTCTGTAGTGCCTTGAGCATGTGCTAGAAACTTACAAAGCATTAATTTAAAAAGCTTAGATTCTGATAGACTGACAGTCAACTTCACGGCTGGTAAAGATCATCTACTAAGATATGTAAATTAACCTTTGTTCCAGGGAAAATGAAATCATAAGCTAATAAGCTGGTCATGTAACAGAAGGGTGCCACTCACTCTTATTGATAAACATATTGGGCAGTAGCAAGATTCAGGCCCTGGGCTGTCCATCTACTATGTCATTTAAAGTACAGACTAATGCTAAGTGTAGGGTGTGAGTGATTTCCAAGTTCTCTACCTGAGCGTGTGTGTGTGTGTGTGTGTGTGTGTTCTCTAATTTACATCTTGGTCATATGTGTATATTATCTTTCCCCAATAATGTATAAGCTTCTTAAATTACATACAGATGCCGAGTTTTCCATTTCTTTAATATTTTCTCTCTGGTGTATTTTCTTGTGATTACTAATATTTTAATAATAAATAATTGAAGTTTAATCTTATTCTATATGAATTAGAAGAACAAGGGAAAGAGTTTATAATTAATTTTTAAATATTCTTAAATATTCTAAATTTTTAACTACATTATACTAGAAAATAATGAATTGAGGAATCTCAATATTAAATCCCTCATTAAGCGCATATTTAAACATGCCTTTGTCTTGTATTTAAGATAATGAATCATCTGTACTACTACGTTACTGTCATCATACAGGAGTAATATGATATTTAGTGACTATTAGAAATCTCCATTTAGGAAAAACATTTTGAAGAAAAAAACCACTGAGATTAAATAATTTATTATCATTGCTAAGATGAACACATATACTTGATGAGTCAATTTTATGCAGAACTTTAAAAAAATAGTTTTAATACAGTATCAAAATTTACACAAGTATTTTGTCAAAAGACCAGTGTTCCTTGTATTAGCTTCTGCAGGCTCTACTGCAGGCACAGAAACTTGTTTTAAATGTCTTCAGAGTGTAGGAATACAACAATTTAAAGATGAAGGCTTTTCAAGGGAAGGTGTAAATATAGCAGTTTTATAGAGTAATAATATTCTTAAAATATATAACATTTTAAAAGAGAAGCTTAAATGGTAATCCAATTACAATAATTAGAGAATTCTATAGCAAATTAATGCATAAATATTTTCTGAGACCAGAGGGCTGCTTTTTCATCACAATAACATTCAAAAAAGTGTAACAATTCCTTCACCAATGACAATTAATACATGTGTAATGAGCCTGTTTTAAAAAAAGAGCAACAACAGAATATCTGCTATGAATCAAATCTAAGTAATTTAGAAGAAAACTGGGAATTGTTGCATTCCTACTTTTATAATCTTAAACTACAATATAAAGTTAGCATTCGTTCACAGGCCTCTCGCACATTCATACAAGAAACTATGGTTGCATTTGGATAAACACAAAATACCTATCATAGCATTTCCAATACACACAGTCTATTTTTTATATATATATATATATATATATATATATAAAATATATATATATACACCAAAAATAAGGAAAGCAAAGCAAAGCTAGCACACCTCCTTTTCAAACCTCAAGCAATCTGAACAAGAGCTTTTAGCTTCAATAATGAAGGACATGCGTCAGTTTCATAAAATGTTAGATAACTGCTGTAGGCTAAGAAAGCTTTTTTCATAAATGCAGTGCAATATTTTAAAGTTTACAGAAAGTTTATTAAGTATAACAGCATGTCTAGAAATTAAATTGTAGAAATTAACATCTCACAGCTGGAAACACTTAGAAAAATTGTTTGCTTGTTCTTTAATTGAAACTGTTAATATTAACATTAATGAATACACTGAAGATGGAGGTTGATGTGTTCCCAAGATGTGTCTTCATGAGCAATACATTAAGATGAAAAGAAAAGATATATTTACTTTGATCAATTAAAATAAATGGTACTCGCTGATAAGCACTTGACAAAGTCCTGCTACCCTCCTAGCTGGTAAGGAAAATTTATGTGGTATTTTTAGCACCTCAAAAGTCAAAACGAAATCCCAGAAACCTAATCTTATCTTGCGTTCGAATCAATGATGCATCAGGAACTAGTATTTTATTAACTAAAATATAATAGGTGACCAACTCTCCAACTTGGGAAGCTGGAAACCACCTCTTATCTTGAACAATATGGTAGAACACTCCCACCATTATATGCAATGATTCAATTCTATCAAAACCACAGAGGCTCTACTGGACTCTTCCAATCATGCAGGTTTCCCAATTACAATTTTCCATCTGAAGAGTCAAAAACTTTTAGTTCTAATGAAAATATTGGTACCAAAATGGTGATTTTCGAAGCTACCTTGTTTGAGATTGACTGTTGTGAACATTGAAGTGAGAGACAAAATACAACTTCAGTTACACTAAAGATTTTAGAGGGAAAATATGTGCAATGTACAATCACTCCATGTTATTCCATGAGTCCAGGTTTGTGAAAATCCACTCTTTTCTTCTGTCTCTCTGGCAGTGGTGATGTCATGTTTGAAAGAGAGTCCTTCTCACATGGGTCCTTTGTACTGGTTTCCAGACAAATGCTGCCTAATTCCAGGACACGAACCTGCAGCATCTCCAAGTTTCCTCCATACAACCTTAAGAAGAAAAAAAAGTAAGCATCTTAATTGTCCTCTTCCACAAAGACATGTATATGTTTTTTTGTTCTAAGCGGGAATCTATGAGAGGGACAAAAAGGAATATAAGACAAGAGACAAAATATTCACATATTTTGTCAAACACAAAATACAAAATGAAATGTGATACAAGTTTCTAAATCACAAGAACTGCTCAACAGATGGGACTACGACGCTTTGTTAGCAACCAGGGTCAGAATTAAAGAATGACGTGCCAGCTTACACTAGCTGTGAGAGTGGTCCTCAACTCTAGCTGCACACTGCACACTGGGAGTTACTCAGACAGGTATGGTCATCTATTTTTTGTTTTAAAAGCTTTCAACATGATTCTAATATCTAGCCAGAAATAAGAACACATGAGCAAAATCATCCTGGTTCCTATATTATACCTCTAAAATAAGGGATACCAAAATGTTAAATAGCTAAGAACAAACGCTCCTTCATTGTCCTTAGTGGTTTAAAGTCCCTGAGGTGGTAGCATTAAGGGTCAGTGGTAGAGTTCCCTGGTTTCCCCTGCGAAATGGGGGCCTCAGTTATCATAAAGCTTAGCTACCCAATATGGTATCTCGGATTACCACAACAGAAAGCATACAGATGCAGGGAAAAGATAAGAATAAATTCAAGAGTCACTAAAATAGATACAATTACAATATGCTAAAAACTGGTCCATTTTAAAGGGACAGTAGCAAAAGGTGAGATTAATAAGTAATTGTTACTGAATTCAACAACAACATACCAGTATACTAACATTAATTAGGAAACACACACAGTAAGTCATAACCCTCTTAGAGCGTTTCACTATTAGGATTATGATCAGACTGATTAATTCCACAAAAATTTACATTGCTCTAACATGAATACAAACCCGTTGGTTCGTTAATTATTCATAGATTGTGTTTCTCTGTTTTCTCTTTTAAAAAGAGCAGATACTCCAGGGAAGCCAAGTACTATTCACAGTACTACATAAGAATATATAGGGTTCTGTCTACCTTCATTTCGAAGCCCATGTAACTATTAGTCTCTCTGTTTTAGCAGGCACAACTATGTGATGGAGTATTGTCATATTTGAAGGGAACTGTAGTATGGTCCTTAACTATTTGGAAAGGAATGATATAGCAATGGATGGCTCAAATTGTACCCAAGGGAGCTAGGAAAGTGTCATTTCTCAGTACACTGACTAAAGAGGCACAAATTCTGAATCAGGAAGCCAAGGAATGCTATGGACTTTGCCTTTCTAGCCCTTAAATGGTATACATAATTACATCTACCCAGAACGCTTTGATGTCTTGGTTAGAAGCAGAGGATAGAGCCAAATGATCAGGGACGTAAGGCAGTAGATGATTACAACTCAAAAGTGCTACCCCTCTTCAAGTGTTCAAATGTAGAATGCAAGGGGCCTTAACCCTGAAATTACTATGTGGTGAAAGGAAACTCAGAGAAGGCAGAACTCTGAAATAAGCCAAGGATACAGAATATTAAGGCAGACACAGAGTAGTGACTCATTAACTGAAAGCAGAACAGGTGGGTATCTGAGATGACCAGTCAAGTATTTCAACTGTTCTCAGGGAATTGACAAGAGCCAAACAGACAAACCTAAGATAACTAAGATAAAACCATTACTACAAGATAGATTTACTATTTCTTAGAGGGCAGTGTATGTTTGGGGTATAGCTTGGGAAGAGAATAAAAGCACTTGGTGCTGTGAAGAAGAGTCTTTCCATTGTATATACATGTTAACTTATCTTCAGAAAGAATACCATACACTGAGATAAAACAAGTTCTGAGTCTTTTAACGGCTATCACATTCTGAGAAAGCTTTACATTTCTGTGACGTTACTGTAAAAGCACATAGTTCCTCTAATAGGTTTCATAATCTTACGTAAGTTATTTCTTACAAACTATGAAACTGTCTCACAATCTGTATTTTTCTTTAATCTCCAATATTTGCTATGTGTTTTTGATATATAACTTACCATGGTGACACAAATATTTTATTTTTTTACATCTTTATTGGAGTATAATTGCTTTACAATGGTGTCTTAGTTTCTGCTTTATAACAAAGTGAATCAGTCATACATATACATATGTCCCCATATCTCTCCCCTCTTGTGTCTCCCTCCCACCCTCCCTATCCCAGCCCTCTAGGTGGGCACAAAGCACGGAGCTGATCTCCCTGTGCTATGCAGCTGCTTCCTACTAGCTAGCTATTTTACATTTGGTAGTGTATATATGTCCATGCCACTCTCTCACTTTGTCAGAGCTTACCCTTCCCTCTCCCCATATCCTAAAGTCCATTCTCTAGTAGGTCTGTGTCTTTATTCCTGTCTTACCCCTAGGTTCTTCATGACATTTTTTTTTCTTAAATTCCATATATACGTGTTAGCATACGGTATTTGTCATTCTCTTTCTGACTTACTTCACTCTGTATGACAGACTCTGGGTCCACCCACCTCATTACAAATAGCTCAATTTTGTTTCTTTTTATGGCTGAGTAATATTCCATTGTATATATGTGCCACATCTTCTTTATCCATTCATCCGATGATGGACACTTAGGTTGTTTCCATGTCCTGGCTATTGTAAATAGAGCTGCAATGAACATTTTGGTACATGACTCGTTTTGAATTATGGTTTTCTCAGGGCATATGCCCAGTAGTGGGATTGCTGGGTCATGTGGTAGTTCTATTTGTAGTTTTTTAAGGAACCTCCATACTGTTCTCCACAGTGGCTATTTACATTCCCACCAGCAGTGCAAGAGGGTTCCCTTTTCTCCACACCTTCTCCAGCATTTATTGTTTCTAGATTTTTTGATGATGGCCATTCTGACTGGTGTGAGATGATATCTCATTGTAGTTTTGAGTTGCATTGCTCTAATGATTAATGATGTTGAGCATTCTTTCATGTGTTTGTTGGCAGTCTGTATATCTTCTTTGGAGAAATGTCTGTTTAGGTCTTCTGCCCATTTTTGGATTGGGTTGTTTGTTTTTTTGTTATTGAGCTGCATATAAATTTTGGAGATTAATCCTTTGTCAGTTGCTTCATTTGCAAATATTTTCTCCCATCCTGAGGGTTGTCTTTTGGTCTTGTTTATGGTTTCCTTTGCTGTGCAAAAGCTTTGAAGTTTCATTAGGTCCAATTTGTTTATTTTTGTAGGACGTGGGTCAAAAAGGATCTTGCTGTGATTTATGTCATAGAGTGTTCTGCCTATGTTTTCCTCTAAGAGTTTGATAGTTTCTGGCCTTACATTTAGATCTTTAATCCATTTTGAGCTTATTTTTGTGTATGGTGTTAGGGAGTGATCTAATCTCATACTTTTACATGTACCTGTCCAGTTTTCCCAGCACCACTTATTGAAGAGGCTGTCCTTTCTCCACTGTACATTCCTGCGTCCTTTATCAAAGATAAGGTGACCATATGTGCGTGGGTTTATCTCTGGGCTTTCTATCCTGTTCCATTGATCTATCTTTCTGTTTTTGTGCCAGTGCCAGTACCATACTGTCTTGATTATTGTAGCTTTGTAATATAGTCTGAAGTCAGGGAGCCTGATTCCTCCAGCTCCGTTTTTTGTTCTCAAGATTGCTTTGGCTATTTGGGGTCTTTTGTGTTTCCATACAAATTGTGAAATTTTTTGTTCTAGTTCTGTGAAAAATGCCAGTGGTAGTTTGATAGGGATTGCATTGAATCTGTAGATTGCTTTGGGTAGTAGAGTCATTTTCACAATGTTGATTCTTCCAATCCAAGAACATGGTATATCTCTCCATCTAGTTGTATCATCTTTAATTTCTTTCATCAGTATCTTATAATTTTCTGCATACAGGTCTTTTGTCTCCTTAGGTAGGTTTATTTCTAGATATTTTTTGTTGCAATGGTAAATGGGAGTGTTTTCTTGATTTCACTTGCAGATTTTTCATCCTTAGTGTATAGGAATGCCAGAGATTTCTGTGCATTAATTTTGTATCCTGCTACTTTACCAAATTCATTGATTAGGAGTTTTCTGGTAGCATCTCTAGGATTCTCTATGTATAGTATCATGTCGTCTGCAAACAGTGACAGCTTTACTTCTTCTTTTCTGATTTGGACTCCCTTTATTTCTTTTTCTTCTCTGATTGCTGTGGCTAAAACTTCCAAAGTTATGTTGAATAAGAGTGGTGAGAGTGGGCAACCTTGTCTCGTTCCTGATCTTAGTGGAAACGCTTTCAGTTTTTCACCATTGAGGATGATGTTGGCTGTGGGTTTGTCATATATGGCCTTTACTATGTTGAGGAAAGTTCCCTCTATGCCTACTTTCTGCAGGGTTTTTATCATAAATGGGTTTTGAATTTTGTCGAAAGATTTCACTGCATTTATTGAGATGATCATATGGTTTTTCTCCTTCAGTTTGTTAACATGGTGTATCACACTGATTGATTGGTGTATACTGAAGAAGCCTTGCATTCCTGGGATAAACCCCACTTGATCATGGTGTATGATCCTTTTAATGTGCTGTTGGATTCTGTTTGCTAGTATTTTGTTGAGGATTCTTGCATCCATGTTCATCAGTGATATTGGCCTGTAGTTTTCTTTCTTTGTGACATCCTTGTCTGGTTTTGGTATCAAGGTGATGGTGGCCTCGTAGAATGAGTTTGGGAGTGTTCCTCCCTCTGCTATATTTTGGAAGAGTTTGAGAGGGATAGCTGTTAGCTCTTCTCTAAATGTTTGATAGAATTCGCCTGTGAAGCCATCTGGTCCTGGGCTTTTGTTTGTTGGAAGATTTTTAATCACAGTTTCAATTTCAGTGCTTATGATTGGTCTGTTCATATTTTCTACTTCTTCCTGATTCAGTCTTGGCAGGTTGTGCATTTCTAAGAATTTGTCCTTTCTTCCAGGTTGTCCATTTTATTGCCATAGAGTTGCTTGTAGTAATCTCTCATGACCTTTTGTATTTCTGCAGTGTCAGTTGTTACTTCTCCTTTTTCATTTCT